TTGATACATGGAAAGGGTAATTTATTTAATTTCTTCAAAATTTATAATAGAAGTTTAAATATTGCAATTCATTTTTTTTCTTCTTTCTACAGTGTATTAACAAGTGATTCTGATGTAAAAGAATTATTACCAGAATTTTATATGTCATCACAATTTAATGATGATGAAGATTATGAAGAACATCATCAAGATGGAGAATTTTTACTTAATCAATTTGATATTGATTTTGGTATAAGACATGATGATGTACGTGTTGGTGATGTTTTACTTCCACCATGGGCAGAAAATGAACGAGATTTTGTATATAAAATGCGTTTAGCATTAGAAAGTGATTATGTATCACAACATTTACATGAATGGATTGATCTTATATTTGGTTATAAACAACGTGGTGAAGAAGCACGTCAAACTGATAATCTATTTCATTATTTAACATATGGTGTACCAGATAATCATATTCCAACATCAACTGAACAATATGATGAACAATTATCATTAGAAACACAAATTCTTGAATTTGGACAAGTTCCTAAACAGGTATAAAAATAAAAACAAAAACAAAAAAAAAAAAGAAGATTGAGCCAATTTTTATTTATTATTAAATTTTCGTTTATTTTTCTTTGTAGCTTTTTTTCATGCCACATCCACGTAAATTAACTAAATATGAATTAGAAGAATGTAAGTAAATTTAATTTCAGCAGTTATTTTACTAAAAATTAGAGATGTGCAGATTAAACTTTTGTCATATCCTGTACCGTAACTGAGAAAAATTTCCTAATAGTTGCCTTACCCTAGCTTGGAAAATTCGAGAGAAAAACAACAGATTTCAATGAACTTCATTGGACTTTGAGAGACTTCTAGACTGAAGTCTTCGCTGTTTTTTCTTCGGGAAAATCTCTATTCTTCTCTAACTTTACCTTACCATGCAGGAGTGTTTCAAGCAGAGAAAATCCCAATCTTGAGAAACTCTCCTTTTTTCCGAGCAAAACTAAACAATTTTCTTCGTTTTTTTTGTTTACCAATCCTTGAAAGAAGAGTCGTCCGACCCTCCCAAAGTCGTGAACTATACCTTCTCATTAATCGTCCCTAATCTTGGCGCCTTCCGAACTGCCCTGAGATGAGGTGCAGTGACCCTAAACAATCTACTGAAAATTACTAAACACGCCTATTTGAATACCAAAAAAGTTTTTTGTCAAAAGCCCATGGTTTTCTAAGTAAGTGTTATCAAAGATCTAGCCCGTAATAGAAAGTCACCTTTGATGAGTCATGTGAACTTTCATAACAGAAGGCCATAGTCTTTTATTCTAAGAAGATGATTTATATCATTTGAAATAAGTTGAGGAAAAAAAATCCATTGTTCATGATCTTTGTAGAAGAAATTTAATTTATTTATTTATATTTTTGAAACTTTGATATCATTTATTATAGATAAAGAACGAGAAAAAAATTCTGATATTAACATTCCATCAGCTTCAATTGATAGTGATAATAATGAAATAGAATTAAAATTAATACGTCCTCGAATTCAATCATTATCATCAATTGAACAATATGACTTAGGTCAATTTGAATTTGATTCTATTTGTCGTTTACATAAAACAGCTGTAAGACGTATTGTACCACATCCATTATTACCATCAACACATTTATTAACAATAGGTGATGATGGTTTTTTACGTAATTATATGGTTGATAGAAGTAAAATTGATACATTTTATTTTATATCATCACGTCCATTAACATGTTTAAAATCAATTCCAGTATATGTATCAATAAATACAACTGAACGTTGTTCATTAGCATTTATTGGTAGTTATGATCATTCATTATATATTTATAATTTAGAAACAGGTACATCATTATTATCACAAGTTTTACATGATGATATTATAACAGATTTATATATAACAAATCGATCAACACCAACACTTTTATGTACATCATCAAATGATGCAACTGTACGTATATGGTCATTAGAAAATCTTATTTCTATTCATAATGATAGTTATATATTTCAAACAAATTATCATTTATCATCAATTATTCATATGCAATATGATATTACATTTGATTCATCTTGTACTTGTATGTATGTATTAGAAGAACATTGTCTTTTAACTGTTGGTTGTCAAGATGGATCAATATATATATGTAATTTTCAAACTGGAGGAATATTAAAACAATTAACATCAACATCACCATCATTACCTATTTTATCATTATCATTACGTTCTGATGGTCTTTTTCTTGCATATATATCATCAAGAGCAGTTACAGTAGTTGATATTATAACAGGTACAGATGTATTTACAAAAACATGTTTATCTGATGAACAATTATTTAATACATTATTTTATTCATCACATATGTTAATTATTGGTTTAATAAATGGTTCATGTGATGTATGGAATTTAAGAATATGTGAAAAAATTTATACATTAAATATATCGGATAATATAAGTATAACAACAATAACATATAATGATGGAATGTTTTTTTTTGGTACTAATGATGGATCTGTACATTCCTATGTATTTGCAAGTCGACATCAATTATCAATCTAGTCTTTTTTTTTGATTAAGTAATAAGCATAAAACAATATTTAGAAAAAGATATGTTTATTTTCTATATTTATTTTTATTTTTCATAAGTGATACTTTATATAGTATCAATCGACGTATGTGCTTAATATTGTTATGTTTATTTGTTTGTTTTGCATTTTCTTTATTTTATGTTATTTGAAAAAGATGAAAATCGATCAAGTTTTTTTTTATTTGTAAGCTTCATTGATAATAATAATAGAATTTTTAAAAACAAATAGTTAAATATTAGGAGAACAAAAGAAAAACAAAGGCAGAGAAAATGAACTAAAGTCTTTAGGAAATAAATTTATATTTCATCAATAAATTACAAATAAAATTGTAATGAGAATTTAGATGATCTTGATTTATATCTAATAGAAATCAATGTCAAAAGTAAAAACAAAAATTGTTAGTGCAATTCCGGTAGGATTCAAATATGAAACATGATATAGCTGCTGTTATTAATCACAAGAAGATTGTTTTCTGCTGTCTACATGTCTTCAGCATTGTTTTACTTAAGACTCTAGAAATACAATAAAGAAGTAATTCATATACGGTCTGTGATTGTATATCAATAGTGTCTCTTACAAACTGTGTGATGTCCAAGTTTTGATTTCTATACTTCAACACTCCCTTTAGATCGTATTTTACACAGAAAGATATCAATCAAGATATTATGTCATAGAATATATTTTTGTGATAGAATAAATTATGAAATTTCTAGAAGGATAATATTCGAAATATGAAACCTTGATATATGCTCATCGAATGCTCTTGAAGTCTATAATGATGAACTAGTACATGAAAAGATCTAGTCAATGAATATCTTTAGAATGAGAATGTAACATGTTCAATATAAAAATTCATAATTATTGTAAATAATTTTGTAAAATTCAAACATATTTTGGAAGGAATTAATGAGTGTAAGTTTTAAGCCTAAGTTTTGCGGCTCTCTCTATTACGAACCTTAGCCAACGAGTACAACAACCATTAGACTCTGTCTTCCCGAGTTCCTTAGTGATGGAAGAAGGCGCTAAACAATATTAACGATAAGATTTAGACTGTTCTAAAGATTTTCTGAACATTCCAAAGGCTTCCTTAAAATTTAAATGGCTAAAAACGTTTGAGAATGTTCCAAATAGTGCAGCTTTTGATTTTTGTATAGATAAAAATTTCTATTCAAAATATCAGCGACGGTGGGTAAGTGATGCATTTATTTGCCATAGTTGTCATGTAATCAATGTAAGAACAAAACATCAATTGATCTATTTATTATTTTAGGAAATAATTAATATCAGTGTTTCGGAGCTTATCGACATATATAGCAGTGTGTTAAAATCTATTGTAGATATAATTAATATGTACAACAGGGTTATTCGCCAATATTTAGCATAATAATAATGTTAGATTAAGAACGATAACAAGTAAATAGCAACAAGGCAAACAATTGAAAAAAATTCTGTTCAAAATGTAGAAATAAATAAGATAGATCGCTTCACTAGCGATCAGTTATCTTGGAAAACAACTATAGTCTACGAGAGATTTTCCATTTTATATATTTTGTACTAGTATAATGAGGCTAAAGAACACATGTAAATTCTACATTTCAGCTCCAATGAGGTTGCGTTAACAAGCTTTTTTTTTCTCGAAACAAAAATATATTTACATGATACCCGAGTATAAATTTTAGCAATGGTTTCGAATTATCTTAGATAACACGCATGAAACATTTGAAGACAAATTTCCTCTATTAATGCTAATGATTGTCCTTGTCATGTTTCTTTTTTTTTGCATGTTAAATAAATGATAATATGAATGAATCAAGAGAATTGACTATAACAATATTAAAGCTGTCGCAAATCTTTTGTTTTATTCAATCTCAAAAAAGAAATATAATTTAAGTACACAAAAGACAATCCTTCCAACAGCTGAACCATATTGCAGTTTCGAATTGATGCTAATCAAGACTATGAATGTGAGTTATTTTTGTCGATATTGAAAAGACCAAAAGATAGAATGTGTGATTTTATAGAATGGCATCAGTAATATTGACAAACATTGTTTACTTAATATAGAAAAAAAGAAGAGTCTAGATTTTTGAATATGTCAATGACTTTTTAATATTAAATTTATAATTATAATTGATTCATGAACCTTCCAAGATTATAATAAATTTAATATATTTGTAGTTTACAGTCTTAGAGAAAAAGAAGTTCAATGTTATACTAGACTTTTGACCCGTATGAAGGACGATAGAGATAAATCTATCTGCAATGTTCACTGCTTTTTATGAGAATGTTAAAAGTTTCTATATATTTTTGAACAAAATATTATTCAATGACTTAGCTACTATTTTGACTATCTTAATAATATATAACTTTATCTAAATATAGTACAAATTTTCTTTCGATAATCTCTTTATAAAATGTATGGCGTGATTGTCTTTATATATGTACCATTGCTTTGTACATGGGATGATTTTATGATTGCACAAACCAATAAATGTATATGTATATTACATTCTCATACTTTTTCTATTCTTCGAGATTTTGCTTTCTTCTACGCTCGCGTTTCCTTACTGTTTGCATTTACAAGTGTATGTTTTTTAGTAAATGATAACAGTCAATGGTAACAATAAGATATTGTATTCGTCTCTTTATATCATTCACATAGCAAAAAATACTTTTTCTTTTTCTTAAATTGGTCATGAGTATCATAGAAAGAGGAGATTGATTTACTTTATTATTCATAGTTTTCTTTGCTATATTTTCTATTTGATCGATACTATCTAAATTCGTATGGTTTTCATAAAATGTTGAAAACCAACGGAAGAACAAAAAAAATTAATAAAATAAGACAATATTACAATAAAAATAATTCTATCGAAAATATATAAAATCTCACTGAAAGAAAGCACTCAAACGTAAATGGTTAGTTTTGTATAGCGTGAGTATGAGTTGATCTTGCTTAAAACAAACGAATAGGTTTAATAAAGATAAAAAGAGAAGTGCTGTTTTTTTTACCTCGAATAATCTTTTTATTACAAAAATAAGAATAAAAACAGAAGAAATTAGAATAGAAAACTAGGTGAATGTCAACTAATTCACCATTTTGTTTGTCATGTCTCAACAAGTCATAATTTGCTAATGCTATCATTTGATAATGAGTCATATGTACTTATCGCAAAAAAAGTGCCATACAGTAAAATCTTTATCTTTTTTTTTAGACGAAGTATATAATCAAAAATTGAGTAAAGAACAAAAAGAATTTGATGGTACACTAGGAGCTATTAGTTTAATGATATTTTCTCATTTTATACCATTTTATTTTACTTTATCATTACGATATAATTCCGGTGGTCTTTATTATCCATCATCGTTTAATGAATTTATAGAAAATGTTCAAGAAACATGTTCACCAACCTGGTCAGCTTGTTATCTTTATATGGGATTTTTTCTTATACAACTTATACTTGCTGCTATTTTACCTGGTCCTGAAGTTAAAGGTTTACCTGTACCTACTGAAAATAATCGACAATATACATATAAATGTAATGCATTAACTAGTTGGTATTTAACATTAATATGTATTAGTGTATGTCATTTTACTGGTATATTTCGCATGACAATATTAGCTGATCAATCTGATTCAATACTTTGTGTAGCTGTTATATTTAGTGATATTTTATCAATATATAGTCATTTATATGCTTTAAAAACAAATCAAACATGTCGAATGACACATTCACCTATTTATGATTTTTTTATGGGAATTTGGTTAAATCCACGTATTCGAATTTTAGGACAAGATGTTGATCTTAAAATGATAGCTGAAGTACGCTTATCATGGCTTTTATTATTTCTATTAATTATATCTGCTGCATTAAAACAATATGAAATATTTCATACAATAACATGGCCAATGATATTTATTTTAACAGCTCAAATACTTTATATAAATGCTTGTATGAAAGGTGAAGAATGTATTCCTGTAACTTGGGATATATTTTATGAAAAATGGCGTTGGATGTTAATCTATTGGAATTTAGCTGGTGTTCCATTTGTATATGCATTTCAAGCATATTATATTCTTGTTAATAGTTTACGTACACAAAAACCTAATGAAAATATATCAATGACATTTATTATTATATTATTTATTGTACTTATTTTTGCTTATTATATATGGGATTCTTCTCCATCACAAAAAATTCGTTTTCGTATGCAACAACAAGGAATATATATAACACGAAATGGATTTCCACAAGTTCCATGGAATGAAATAAAAAATCCTAAATATTTAAAAACTGAATGTGGTTCACCATTATTAATTGATGGTTATTGGAAATATTGTCGTAAACCAGCATATACAGCTGATATATGTATGGCAACATGCTGGGCATTATCATGTCATCAATGGTTTGGTGTTTTACCTTATTTTTATCCAATATTCTTTTTTTTCATGATTATTCATCGTTATACACGTGATATGACTCGATGTCAAGCTAAATATGGTAAAGATTGGGCAACTTATTGTAAACGCGTACCATATGCATTTATTCCTGGAGTTATTTGAAATTTTCTCTAAGATATGTTTTTTTTTCCTTAGTTCTATAGTATTATCCTATTCTTTCTTGTTCTTTTGTATGTATAAAAATACATACATCATATGTAAATAATTCAAATTACTTATCTGAAAATGATTATTAATAATTACGACAAGATTTTTAAAAAATAATATACAATGACTTCAAAGATTGATTGTACAAATTTAACTTCTCATAGCAATTCTAGACGAGCTACTGATGAAATAAACGGAGAATGACTTCTACCTAAAGCTTTTCATAAATTTGATGTAATTCGACGAAAAAATGTCGTAGAGAACTCGAGGATATCTCATTTTGTAGAGAATGATTTGCTCTATCATTTCATGAGATGTGAATAAATTTTATGACCAAATTGTAGGCGCTAAAAAAACTAACG